CTCTCTTATTTCCTCTCTTCATCCCCATTCCCACTCTCTTATTTCCCACTCTCTTCCCCATCCCACTCTCTATTTCCCTCTCATCCCCCATCCCTCTCTTATTTTCCCTCTCTTCCCCATCCCTTTCTCTCTTATTTCCCACTCTCTTCCCCCATCCCCTCTCTCTTATTTCCCTCTCTTCTCCCATTCCCTCTCTTATTTCCCTCTCTTCCTTCATCCCATCCCCTCTTATTTCCTCTCTTCCCCTTTCTCCATTTCCCCTCTTCTATTTCCCTCTCTTCCCCCATCCTCTCTTATTTTCCCTTCCCCATCCCACTCTCTTATTTCCCCTCTCTTCCCATCCCATTCTCTTATTTCCCACTCTCTTCTCCATCCCACTCTCTTATTTCCCAGTCTCTCTTCCCCATCTCTTATTTCCCTCTCTTCCCCATCCCACTCTCTTATTTTCCCTCTCTTCCCCATCCCACTCTTATTTCCATCCTCTCTCTTCCCCATCCCACTCTCTTATTTCCCCACTCTCTTCCCCATCCCAATTCTCTTATTTCCCCCTCTTCCCCATCCCACTCTCTTATTTCCCTCTTCTCTTCCCCCATCCTCCTCTCTCATTTCCCCACTCTCTTCCCCATCCCACTCTTATTTCCCTCTCTTCCCCCATCCCTCTTGTTTCCTCTTATTCCCATCCCTCTTATTTCCCCTTTCTTCCCCATCCCTCTCTTATTCCCTTCTTTCCCTCTCTTGTTCCTTCTCTCTTCTCCATCCCACTCTCTTATTTCCCACTCTCTTCCCCATCCCCTCTCTTATTTCCCTCTCTTCCCCATCCCACTCTCTTATTTCCTCTCTTCCCCATCCTCTTTTTTTCCCTCTTCCCATCCCACTTTCTCTTTCCCTCTCTTCCCCTCATCCCATCCTCTTTTTTCCCCTCTCTTCCCCATCCCACTCTCTTATTTTCCACTCTCTTCCCCATCCCCTCTCTTATTTCCCTCTCTTCCCCATCCCCTCTCTTATTTCCCCCTCTCTTCTTATCCCACCTCTCTCTTATTTCCCTCTTTCCCCATCCCTCTCTTATCTTTTCCCTCTCTTCCCCATCCTCTCTTATTTTCCATTTCCTCTCTTCCCATCCCACTCTCTTTATTTCCCTCTCTTCTTCCCCATCCCCTCTCTTATTTTCCCTTTCTTCTCCATCCCACTCTCTTATTTCCCCTCTCTTCCCATCCCACTCTCTCTTATTTCTCTTCTTCTCCCACTCCTTATTTCCTCTTCCCCATCCCATCTCTTATTTCCCTCTCTTCCCCATCCACTTTCCTATTTATTTTCCCATCCTCTCTTCTACTATCCCATCTCTTATTTTCTCTCTTCCCCATCCCACTCTCTTATTTACCCTCTCTTCCCCATCCCTTCTCTTATTTCCCACTCTTCCTATCCCAATTTCTTATCTCTTATTTCCCTCTCTTCCCATCCCCTCTCTTATTTCCCTCTCTTCCCCATCCCTCTCTTATTTTCCCTCTCTCTCCCCATCCCACTCTCTTATTTCCCACTCTCTTCCCCATCCCCTCTCTTTATTTTTCCCCTCTTCCCCCATCCCCCTCTCTTATTTCCCTCTCTTCCCCATCCACTCTCTTATTTTTTCCCTCTCTTCCCCCCATCCCCTCTCTTATTTTCCTCTCTTCCCCATCCCTCTCTTATTTCCCCCTCTCTTCCCCATCCCACTCTCTTATTTCCCTCTCTTCCCCCATCCCATTCTCTTATTTTCTCTCTTCTCATCCATCTCTTCTCCCCACTCTCTTATTTCCCTCAATTCTCTTATTTTCCTCATCCCACTCTCTTATTTCCCTCTCTTCCCATCCCTCTCTTATTTCCTCTCTTCCCCATCCCACTCTCTTATTTCTCCCCCTCTCTTCCCCATCCATCCTCTTTTATTCCTCTTCTCCATCCCCACTCTTATTTCCCCTCTCTTCTCCATCCACTCTCTTATTTTTCCCTCTCTTCCCCATCCCCTCTCTCGCATTTGTTCTCTCTCTTATCCCATTCCCACTCTCTTATTTCCTCTCTTCCCCATCCACTCTCTTATTTCCTCTCTTCCCCATCCCCTCTCTTATTTTCCCCTCTCTTCCCCATCCAATTCTCTTATTTCCCACTCTCTTCCCCATCTAACTCTCTTATTTCCCCTCTCACTCTCCATTTCCCCACTCTTCTTATTTTTCTCTCTCTTCCCCTCCTGATTCCTCTCTTATTTTTCCCTTCCCCATTCTCTCTCCCCTCTTCCCCATCTCTTATTTCCCTCTTCCCATCCCACTCTCTTATTTCCCTCTCTTCCCATCCCACTCTCTTATTTCCCTCTCTTTCCCCATCCCTCTCTTATTTCCCTCTCTTCTCCATCCCCTCTCTTATTTCCTCTCTTCCCCCATCCCCTCTCTTATTTCCCCTCTCTTCCCCATCCCACTCTCTTATTTCCCTCTCTTCCCCATCTCTTCTTTCCCTCTCTTATCCTCTCTCTTATTTCCCTCTCTTCCCCATCCTCTCTTATTTCCCACTCCTCTCCCCATCCCACTCTCTTATCTTCCCACTCTTCTTCTCCATCCCCCATCCCTCTTATTTTCCCTCTCTTCCCCATCCCAATCTCTTATTTCCTTCCCATCCTCTCTTCTCCATCCCCCTCTCTTATTTCCCCTCTCTTCCCCATCCCATTCCCTTATTCCCAATCCTCTTCTTTTCCCTCTCTTATTTCCCTCTCTTCCCCATCCCTCTCTTATTTCCCTCTCTTCCCCCCCATCCACTCTCTTATTTCCCCTCTCTTCTCCATCCCTCTCTTTTTTCCCTCTCTTCCCCATCCACTCTCTTATTTCCACTCTCTTCCCCATCCTTCACTCTCTTCCCCATTTCCCTCTCTCTTCTCCTCCCACTCTCTTATTTCCCCACTCTTCCCCATCCCCTCTCTTATTTCCCTCTCTTCCCCATCCCCTCTCTTATTTTCTCTTCTCTATTCCAATTCTCTTATTTTCCCTTTCTTCTTATTTCCTCTCCCGATCTTTTATTTCCCTCTCTCTTCACTCTCTCATTTCCTCTCTTCTCCATTCCCTCTCTTATATCCAATTCCTTCCCCTTATTTCCCCTTCTCTTATTTTCCCTCTCTTCCCATCCCCTCTCTTATTTTCCTCCTCTCTTATTTATCCTTCTCTCTCCATTTGTTCCTCTCTTCCCATCCCCTCTCTTATTCCCCTCTTCTCCTTCCCATCCCTCTTCTCTCTTATTTTCCCTCTCTTCCCCATCCCCTCTCTTATTTCCCTCTCTTCCCCATCCCCTCTCTTGTTTCCCTCTCTTTCCCCATTCCACTCTCTTATTTCCCTCTCTTCCCCATCCCTCTCTTATTTTCCACTCTTCTCCATCCCACTCTCTTATTTCCCACTCTCTTCCCATCCACTCTCTTCCCATTCCCCATCCACTCTCTTCCCCATCCCAATCTCTTATTTTCCCTTTCTTCCAACTCTCTTCTCAGTCCACTCTCCATTTCCACCTCTTCTTTCCCACTCTCTTCCCCATCTCATTCCCCTCTCTTATTTCCCCTCTCTTCCCATCCAATTCTCTTATTTCCCACTCTCTTCTCATCCCATCTCTCTTTTTTCCTTCTCTCTCTTATTTCCCGCATTCCCCATCCTCTCTTCTCATCCATCTCTCTTGTTCCCTTCCTTCTCCCATCCCCTCTCTTTATTTCCCACTCTTCCCCCCATTTCCCTCTTCCCCATCCTTATTTCCTCTCTTCTCCATCCTACTCTCTTATTTCCCTCTCTTCTTCCCCATCCCTCTCTTATTTCCCTCTCTTCCCCATCCCCTCTTATTTCCCACTCTCTTCTCATCCTCTCTTATTTTCCACTCTCTTCTCATCAACTCTCTTATTTCCTCTCTCTTCTCCATCTTCTCCTCTCTTATTTCAATTCCTTCTCGATTCCCCCACTCTTATTTCCCACTCTCTTATTTCACTTCCTCTCTTCCCCCCCATCCCCCTCTCTTCCCCATTTGCCTCTCTTCCTTCCCCATTCCACTCTCTTACTCTTTCCCTCTCTTATTTTTTCCTCTCTCTCCATCCTCTCTTATTTCCCTCTCTTCCCATTCCCTCTCTTATTTCCCACTCTCCCCATCCTCTCTTATTTCCTCTCTTCCCCATCCCACTCTTCTCATTTCTTATTTCTCTTCTCCATCCCACTCTCTTATTTCCCCTCTCTTCTCCATCCCTCTCTTCTTCCTCTTTCCCTTATTTCCCTCTTCTTCCAATTCTCTCCCTTCATCCATCTCTCTTATTTCGGTCCACTCTCATTTTCCCCATCCTTCTCGTTTCTCTCTTTCCCTCTCTTTCTCTATTCCCCCATCTCTTTTTTTCTTCCCCATTCCTTCTTCTCTCTTCCCATCCTATCTTATTTCCTCCCCATCCCCTCTCGCATTTCCCACTCTCTTCCCATTATCACTCTCTTATATCCCTCTCTTCCCATCCTCTCTTATTTCCCCTCTCTTCTCCATTTCCTTGTTCCCCTCTTCTCCATCCCGCTCTCTTGTTTCCCACTCTCTTCATCCTCTCTTATTTTCCTCTTGTACTCTCTTCCCCATCCTCTCTTATTTCCACTCTCTTCCCATTCCCTCTCTTATTTCCCTCTCTTCCCCCATCCTCTCTTATTTCCCTCTCTTCTCCATCCCACTCTCTTATTTCCCTCTCTTCCCCATCCCACTCTCTTATTTCCCCTCTCTTCCCCATCCCCTCTCTTGTTCCCACTCTTCTCCGTCCTCTCTTCTTCCCCATCCTCTCTCTTATTCCCCTCTTCTCATCCTCTCTTGTTTCCCTCTCTCTTCCCCATCCTTGTTTCCCTCTCTTCTTATTCAATTCTTATTTTCTTTCTTCTTGATCCATCTATCTTATTTCCCGGTCTCTTCTCGCATTTCCCACTCTTCTCGTTGACCTCCTCTTCTCCATTCCACTCTCGATTCCCCTCTTCTTCCTCTCCCCATCCACTCTCTTGTTCCCTCTCTTGTTTCCGCTCCTCTTATTTCCCACTCTCTTTCCCCATCCCTCTCTTATTTCCCTCTCTTCCCCATTCCTTGTCTCTCTTATTTCCCTCTCTTCCCATCCCTCTCTTCCCCATCCCTTCCCCATCCCACTTATTTCCCCTCTCTTCCCCATCCCACTCTCTTATTTTCCTCTCTTTATTCAATTCTCTTATTTTCATCACTCTTATTCCTTCTCTTCTCCATCCCTATCTTATTTCCTCGGTCTCACTCTCTTATTTCCCTCTCTTCTCCATCCCCTCTCTCTTTTACCCTCATTCCTTCTCTCTTATTTCCCTTATTTTCCATTCCCTCTCTTCCCCATCCCCTCTCTTATTTCCCCATCCCTCTTCCCCATCCCCATCCTCTCTTATTTTCCCCCACTCTCTTCCTCCATTTCCCTCTCTTTTTTCCCATTCTCTTATTTTCCTTTCTTCTTGATCCAACTCTCTTGTTCCTCGGTTTCCCCTCTCTTTCTCCACTCACATTCCCTCTTATTCCCCTCTCTTCTCTTCCCCCCATCCTCTCTTATTTCCCTCTCTTCCCCATCCCACTCTCTGTTACCACTCTCTTCCCCATCCCACTCTCTTATTTCCTCTCTTCCCCATCCACTCTCTTGTTTCCCTCTCTCCATCCCACTCTCTTATTTCCCCTCCTTCTCCATCCCACTCTCTTGTTCCCTCTCTTCCCATCCCACTCTCTTATTTCCCACTCTCTTCTCCATCCCACTCTCTTATTTCCCACTCTCTTCCCCATCCCACTCTATTATTTCCCACTCTCTTCTCCATCCCACTTTCTTATTTCCCACTCTCTTCTCCATGCCATTGTTTGATTTCCAACTCTCTTCTGGAATTCCCCCTCTTGGTATCTCCCCTCTCTTTCATTCCTGTTCTATTTCCCTCTCTTTTGGCTTAACTCTCTTCTCCGTCCTACGGTCTTGTCCTCACTCTGTTGCCTTTCATTCTCTGCTTCCATTCTCTTCTCAGTCCCACTCTCTTAGCTTCCAGCTCTCTTCTCCTTCCACTCTCTTCATTTCCCCACTCTCTTATTTCCCACTCTCTTCCCCTCTTCCCCACTCTTATTTCCCCTCTTTTCCCATCCCCTCTCTTATTTCCCTCTCTTCCCCATCCCCTCTCTTATTTCCCCTCTCTTCTCCATCCCTCTCTTATTTCCTCTCTCTTCCCCATCCCTCTCTTTATTTTCCTCTCTTCCCATCCCCTCTCTTATTTTCCTCTCTTCCCCATCCCCTCTCTTATTTCCCACTCTCTTCCCCATCCCACTCTCTTATTTCCTCTCTTCCCTCTCTTCTCTTATTTCCCTTCTCCTCTCTCTTATTTCCCACTCTTCCCCATCCCCTCTTATTTCCTCTCCTTATCCCTCTCTTATTTCCCACTCTTCCCCATCCCTCTCTTATTTCCCCTCTTCCCCATCCCTCTCTTATTTCCCTCTTCCCATCCCTCTCTTATTTCCCTCTCTTCCCCATCCCCTCTCTTATTTCTCTCTTCCCCATCCCCTCTCTTATTTCCCACTCTCTTCTTATCCCTCTTATTTTCCCCTCTTCTCCATCCTTTCTCTCATTTCCCCTCATCCCATTTCCCACTCTCTTATTTCCCACTCTCTCTCTTGTTTCATCCCACTCTCTTATTTTCTCTCTTCCCATTCCCTCTTATTTCCCACTCTTCCCCATCCCACTCTCTTATTTCCCTCTCTTCCCCATCCCACTCTTATTTCCCCTCTTTCCCATCCCCTCTCTTATTTCCCCTCTCTTCCCCATTCCCTCTCTTTTCCTCTCTTCCCCCTCTCTTATTTCCTCTCTCTTCCCCACTCTCTTCTTTCCCTTCTCTTATTTCCTCGGTCTCTCTCTTCCCATCCCCTCTCTTATTTCCCTCTTCATCCCTCCATTTCCCTCTCTTATTCTCCCTCTCCCCATCCTCTCTTATTTCCCTCTTCCCCCCTCTCTTATTTCCCCTCTCTTCCCCATCCTCTCTTATTCCCTCTCTTCTTATTCCAGTATCCTCTCTTATCCCTTTCTTCTTCTCCTCTCTCTCTCATTCCCACTCTTTCCCATTCCCTCTTATTTCCCATTCCTTCTCCATTCCCCACTCTTATTTCCTCTCTTCACATCCCCTCTCTTCTCTCCATCCCTCTCTTCTTTCCCTCTCTCTTGTTCCCATTCCTTCCCCATCCCACTCTCTTATTTCCCTCTTCTTATTCAGTATCTTATCCCACTTTCTTTGATCCAAACTATTTTATTTCTCAGTCTCACTCTCACATTTCTCTCTTCTCGTTCTCTTATTTCCCTTCCCTTCTCATTCCCCCCTCTTGGCTTCCCTCTCTTCTTATTTTCTCTTGCTTCCCACTCTCTTCCCCATCATTTCCTGTTTCCCTTCTCATCCCCACTCTCTTATTTCCCTCTCTTTCCCTCTCTGTTCCTCTCTTCCCATCCCTCTTCTTACTCTCTTTTTCATTCTCTTATTTTCCCTTTTTTCCTTTATTTCCTCAGTCTCACTCTCTCATTCCCCACACTCTTCCCTATGTCCTCTTCTTATTTCCCTTATTTCACTCTTCCCATCCCACTCTCTTATTTCTCTCATTTCCCCTCTCTTATTTCTCTTCCCATCCTTATTTCTCTCTTGTTACCATTTCAACTCTCTTCCCCATCCCTCTTATTTCCCCTCTCTTCAATTCTCTTATTTTCCCTTCTTCTCTTTATCTTATTTCCCACTCTCTTTATTTCCCACTCTCTTATTTTCCATTCCTTCTCTTCCCTCATTTCAGTCTCTCCCCATCCTCTCTTATTTCCCCTCTCTTCTCCATCCCCTCTCTTATTTCCCCCTCTTCCCATCTTCCCATCTCTCTTATTTCCCTCTCTTCCCATCCCTCTCTTGTTTCCCCTCTCTTCTTATTCCAATTCTCTTATTTCCCCTTCTTTCTTGAACAACTATCCCATTTCCCTCTCTTCCCATTTCCCCCTCTTCTTATTTCCTCTTCTATCCCATTTCCCTTCTCTTCTCCTCTTATTTCTACTCTTTATTTCATCTCTCTTATTTCCTCTTCTCAATCCCTCTCTCTTCCCCTCTCTTCTCCATCCCTCTCTTTCCCCATCTCTTCTCCAACTCTCCCACTCTCTTATTCCAGTATCTTCTCACTTTTCTTCTTTCCCTATCTTTTTCCCATCCCTCTCCTATTCCCCTCTCTTCTCAATCCTCTCTTATGTCCTCCTTCCACATTCACTCTTTTCCTCTTCCCATCTCTCTCTTACCTCCAATCCCCTGTCTCTTTCTTCTCCATCCCTCTCTCTTTCCTCTCTCTTGTCCTCTCTTATTTCCCTCTCTCTTCCCACTCTCTTATTTTCCCTCTCTTCTCCATCCCTCTCCTTCATTTTCCTCTCTACCCCATCCCACTATTTTTTTCTCTTCTCCATTTCTTATTTTCCTCCTTCTCCCACTCTTTTTGTTCACACACTCTCTTCTCCATTCCTCTCTCTCTTTCCCCCTTTTCCCCCATCCCTCTCTTATTTCCCTCTTCTCCATCCCCTCTCTTATTTCCCTATTTATCCCTCTCTTATTTTCTTCTCCATCCCGTCTCTTTATTTCCCTCTCTTCCCCATCCCTCTCTTATTTCCCTCTCTTCCCCGTCCCACTCTCTTATTTCACCCTCTTCCCCCATCCTACTCTGTTCCCTCTTCCATGTTTCTCCCCTCTCTTCTCCATCCCACTCTCTTGTTCCTCTCTTCCCCCCCTTTCTTATTTCCCTCTCTTCTTATCCTCTTTTTCCTTCTTTTCCCCATTCCACTCTCTATTTCCCTCTTTCCCCCATTCCCACTCTCGCATTTTCCCTCTTCTCTTCTCCCATCCCCTCTTATTTATCCCTCTTCCCCTTCTCTTATTCCCCCTCTTATTTCCCCTCTCTTTCTCTTCCCTTACCCTCTCTTATTCCTCTCTCTTCCCATCCCTCTTATTTCCCTCTTCATCCCTCTTATTTCCCTCTCTTCCCATCCCTCTCTTATTTCCCTTTTTCTCCATTCCCAGTCTTATTACCCACTCTCTCTATTTCCCTCTCTTCTCCATCCCACTCTCTTATTTCCCTCTCTTCCCCATCCCCTTATTTCTTTCCCTCTCTTTTCCATCCCACTCTTGTTTCCCTCTTCCCCATCCCTTTCCTCTTCTTTCCTCTCTCTTATTTCTCTTCATCCCTCTCTTATTTATTCTCTCTCTTCCCCCATCCCTCTCTTATTTCCCCTCTCTTCCCCATCCCTCTCTGTTCCCTCTCTTCCCTCTCTTCTCCATCCCCTTTCTTATTTCCCTCTCTTCCCCATCCCTCTCTTATTTCCCTCTCTTTTCCATCCCCCTTCTCTTATTTCCTCCGTCTCTCTCGCATTTCCCCATCCTCTCTTGTTCCTCTCTTCCCATTCCCTTCTCTCTTATTTCCTCTCTTCCCCATCCTCTCTTATTTACCTCTCTTTCCCACTCTCTTCCCCTCTCCACTCCTTGTTTCCCACTCTCTCCCCCTTCCCTCTCTTGTTCTCTTATTTCCTCTCTTCCCCATCCCCTCTCTTATTTCCCTCTCTTTTATTCAGTTCTTTTATTTTCCTTTGTGATACAACTATCTTGTTCTCCATGTCTTATTTCCTCCTCGTCTCTCTTGTCATTCCTTCTCATTCCTTCTCTTTTTCTTCTTCCCCATCCCCCACTTATTTCCCTCTTCCCCATCCTCTTATTTTTCCCCTCTCTTCCCATCCCTCTCTTATTTCCCTTCTCCTCTCTTGTTTCCTCTCTCCCATCCTCTTGTTTCCCTCTTCCCCATCCCCTCTCTTATTTCCCCTCTCTTCCCCATCCTCTCTTATTTCCCCTCTTCTCTCCCTCTTGTTTTCCCTTCTCTTCTTCATCTTATTTCCCACTCTCTTATTTCTCTCTTCTCATTCCCCTCTCTTATTTCCCTCTTCTCATTCCCCTCTTATTTCCCTCTCTTCTCCCATCCCTCTCTTATTTCCCTCTCTTCCCCATCCCTCTCTTATTTCCTCTCTTCTCCATCCCTCTCTTATTTCCCTCTCTTTCCTCCTTCCCATCCCTCCTTTTTCCCTCTCTTCATCCCTCTCTTATTTTCTCCCCCATCCTCTTATTTCCCCCTCTTCTTATTCCAATTACTTATTTCCACTTTTTCTGTTCCCTCTCTCTTTATTTCCATTCTCTCTTTTCCCCAGTCTTCTTTTTACTCTCTTCTTCTTCCTTCTCATTCCCCTTCTTTTCCCATTCTTCTCTCCCCTCTCTTATTTCCTTCTCTTCCTTCTTCTTCTTCTTCTTCCTTCTATTTCCCTTCTTTTCTTATTTCTCTTATTTTCCTTCTTTCTTCTTCATCCCTTCTCTTATTTCCTTCTCTTCCCATTCCCCACTCTCTTCTTCTTCTTCCACTCTTATTTCCCACTCTTCTCTTCCCCATTCCCTCTTCCCCATCCTTCTCTTATTTTCCCTTCTTGTTTCTTCTTCTTCTTCCCCACTTCTTCCCTTCTCTTATTTCCCTTCTCTTCTTCTTCTTCTTCTTCTTCTTCTCTTATTTCCACTCTTCTTCCCCATCTTCCCACTCTTCTTCTTCTTCCTCTTTTATTTCTTCTTCTTCCATCCCTCTCTTCCTTTTCCCTCTCTTCTTCTTCCTTCCTTCTTCTCTTCTTTTCCTCTCTTCTTTCATCCTCCTTCTTCTTATTTCCTTCTTCTTCTTCCCTTCTTCTTCCTTCTTCTCTTATTTCCCTTCTTCTTCTTCTTCTTCCCTTCCCCTCTCTTATTTCCTTCTTCTTCTTCTTCTTCTTCTTCTTCTTCTTCTTCTTCTTCTTCTTCTTCTTCTTCTTCTTCTTCTTCTTCTTCTTCTTCTTCTTCTTCTTCTTCTTCTTCTTCTTCTTCTTCCTTCTTCTTCTTCTTCTTCTATTTCTTCTTCTTATTATTTCTTCTTCTTCTTCTTCTTCTTCTTCTTCTTCTTCTTCTTCTTCTTCTTCTTCTTCTTCTTCTATTTCTTCTTCTTCTTCTTCTTCTTCTTCTTCTTCTTCTTCTTCTTCTTCTTCTTCTTCTTCTTTAAGCTTCTTCTTCTTCTTCTTCTTCTTCTTCTTCTTCTTCTTCTTCTTCTAACTTCTTCTTCTTCTTCTTCTTCTTCTTCTTCTTCTTCTTCTTCTTCTTCTTCTCTTCTTCTTTATTCTTTATTATTTCTTCTTCTTCTTCTTCTTCTTCTTCTTCTTCTTCTTCTTCTTCTTCTTCTTCTTCTTCTTCATCTTCTTGAAGAGGCCTTCTTCTTCTTCTTCTTCTTCTTCTTCTTCTTCTTCTTCTTCTTCTTCTTCTAGTCCGACTTCTTCTGCTTCTTCTTCTTCTTCTTCCTTCTTCTCCTTTCTTCTTTCAGTACTTTCTTCTTCTTCTTCTTCTTCTTCTTCTTCTTCTTCTTCTATGACCTTTCCCGACTTTGGCAATCATGGTCCGTCATAATTTCCTTTTGTCTTTTGTAGCTCTTAATAAATTTTCTCTTTTCGTTATCTCTCGTTTCATGATATCCACAGCATCCTTCTGTAGAATCACATTTTTGCCGCTTCCACTTTCTTCTTTATCTGTGAGATGATTGTCCAGCATTCACTGCCATACAGTATGACAGATATGACGTAACAGTTAATTACGCTTTTCTTTGTTTCTAACGAAGTTTTTCTATATCTTAATACTCAACTTAACTTTTGGAATGCATCTTTGGCAATCCAAATGCGTTTTCGGATTTCAGTGTCGTATTTTCCGTCTTTTGTTAGAACATTTCCCAGATACTTAAACTTTACGGCGTGGTTGATATTGGCATCGTGATGAAAACATATGCCAAACGTAATGAAAACATAGTTTTATCGCCAAAATCTTTATGTTATTATTAAAAGGAAGGATCAAAGCATTTTTTGATTAGTTAATTAATTTTTTTACTCCTTTTCAAAACATTCGAAATTTTGATTAAATAACCTTCTTGCATCAGCGGGTGTACTAACTTTTAGCAGAGCAAATTTTAGCCTCTCTTTTGTAGTGACAGGCACATTAATTTGGAAATTCTTGCAAAAATTAAATAATTGTTGGATTTTAATTAAATTTTAAAAGCACAAAAATGAGATTATTTTTTTAAAAGGTTTTTCTCGAAAAAAATATTTTAATATGTGTTTCAGACCTTTATTTCATTTTATGAAAACTTGAGAAATTCAGAGATAATTTTTAGTGACTAATTTTAGTTGATAGCAGAATTCTTTGAAGAATTTAAATCACTGAATTGTTTTTTGCAAAATCGTACCTGGTCTTACCGAAAATCTGTTCGGAATCGAAAAATAAAAAAAAGGGATAAACCATACTTAACTATGAATACGTTCAACTGTAGATCGACTGTCACCACATCAGAAAAAAAACAAGACCCTGTAGTTAAGAAATGTTTGCATACAATACTTTTTGCTATAAGTAAGTAATATTTGTTTAAAGTCAGATTAATTTAACTTCAAATTTGCTAATTTTCCTCAAATAACGTTTCAGAAATATATATTTTATTTTTGCAAGATTTTTAAAACCGAGAACGAACTTTTGTTTACAAATTTCTCAAAAATGGCTGCTTTGATCGATTCCGATCAGTATAATTTCGATTTGAAATACATCACAGAGTATTTTTCATACTATAAGTAGTAAATTTTAAATGCTTTAGTTTTCAATTAAAGCTAAAATAAAAACTTCAAGAAAGCTTTTCATTTTTAAAAATTCATTTTAAACTTTGCGTATACTGAACTATTGGAGGTACCTACATATATTATGCTTCCGGATTGTTTTCATTGCTAACGACGAATTGGTTATATTTTTTGACTGCTTTTACAATGTGGGAAGTTAAATTTTTAAAAACCCATTGTAAAATCTGTAATGTAGACTATTTCCTAGGAAAAAAAAAAGACAGATTTTAGCAATGCGGTATGACAGAGTTAAACTTTTTTTGTTGTTTTCTCTCGCAAATTGCTCATAAATATTCAACTACAAAATACGACAGCGATCTCCAGTGGAAGTCGATTGGCAACGCCAACTGCAGCTTTGTTAATGCGATGTGGACTTACGCTTTCACACCTCCATTGTACGCTTCAGTTTTCATACGATGTTTTCTTTTTCTAACCTGTTTGCTATCTTTTGTTGAAAATCGAGGGACATTTACTTATCATTTGAGGCAGTCAACCGGTGTCTGAAGCAGAAAGCACCGTCATTGTAATTTCAGATTAACCTCCACTGGGAACACTCTGCCTAAGCACTTCTATCTAGATACACACACACATATATATATATATTCCGTTTATACGTTATTTTTATAGATACAAATATTTAAGTAAATGCTCTGCTTATAATAAACATTTATAAAACCTACATTTACCGGCCTGAATGTCCGAGAAATTTCATAAAAATATGTGACCTCCGACAGGAACCGAACCTGTATCCATCATAAAGTTTGACGTGCTATACTATTTAGCTACAGAGGAAGCATCTTGGCAGTCGCAATACGCCTTCGGATTTCAATGTAGCATGTTCCGTTCTCTGTTAAAACACTTCCAAAAACCAAAACACGTACCAAAAAAAAAATATCTGTGTGCTTACGGTCAGGGAATAAGTTACACATCTTATTTGGTAACAGTACTCAGTTCATTAAATTGAGATAATCTTGGTGAAGGCTATTTCATTAATCAGTGCCGGCAGTAATGTACTAGTTCTAATGTGGCTCGTTTTTCTTAAGATTGTTTTTGTGAAAAGCGTTCTGTTCGCCTGGAGGGCTATATTTTTGGATATGACGATAAACTCCATTCGGCAACAAGGCCTCCACTTTGATGAACGTGGAACAACTTAGTTTCCAGGTTCACCCTCACCTTGACCCGAGCTGATATCACTTGTTAGGATCCCAGCTTGAAGCAAAGAGTGAACCCCGAAACAAAACAATATGTAATTATAAAAATAGATTTTCATAGTAAAAACACCAGCAAATACATTTTCATATGAAAAAAAGACCAACAATACATATTCATAGTAAAATGACCAACAATGCATTTTTAATTTGAAAATAAGTTGTGTCAAAATATATTTATCCGAATTTGAAAGTATGAAAGTTTGTTTCCAAAATATATTTAATGTTGAAATCTATAGAAATTGATATGTTCAAAATATTTAACCAAACCAATCAAAATATTTAATGTCAAATCTATAGAAAGTTGATATGCCGCTAAACAAAATCAAACCAAACCAATCAAAATATTTAGATTTCGGCATTAAATAACCCATAGAGGTTGATATGCCACTAAACAAAATCAGCGAAACCAAACCAATCAAAATATTTAGATTTCGGCATTAAATAACACATAGAGGTTGATATGCCACTAAACAAAATCAACCAAACCAAACCAATCAAAATATTTAGATTTCGGCATTAAATAACACATAGAGGTTGATATGCCACTAAACAAAATCAACCAAACCAAACCAATCGGAATATTTCGATTTCGGCATTAAATAACCCATAGAGGTTGATATGCCGCTAAACAAAATCAACCAAACCAAACCAATCAAAATATTTCGATTTTGGCATTAAATAACCCATAGAGGTTGATATGCCGCTAAACAAAATCAACCAAACCAAACCAATCAAAATATTTAGATTTCGGCATTAAATAACCCATAGAGATTGATATGCCGCTATACAAAATCAACCAAACCAAACCAATCAAAATATTTAGATTTCGGCATTAAATAACCCATAGAGGTTGATATGCCGTTAAACAAACTCAATCAAACCAATCAAAATATTTAAATTTCGGCATTAAATAATCCATAGAGGTTGATATGTCGCTAAACAAAATCAACCAAACCAAACCGATCAAAATATTTAGATTTCGGTATTACATAAGCCATAGAAGTTGATTTGCCTCTAAACAAAACCAACCAACAAACATGAAAGAACTTTCATAACATTAATCCATATAATATTCAACAATTTCTTGAATCAAACTGTATTCCAAAATATAGCTTCAACATGACTACAACATATAACAAAGATATCACCGCCTCTGGTATTTTCTCCGCACAAACATGAAGCTGAGTATTATCTACCATGGATTCAATTCTGATTTTTTGTTTGTTTAACGGCATATCAATTCCTTATGTCCATTTAATGCCGAAATTAAATTTTCTTAGGAATATTAATCATTTCTTTTACAAAAATGGTAATATTTTTTCCTTACAAAAACGTAAAATAAAAAATAAAATAAAAAAAAACAAAATGCTTTGCTTACGTCTGCACTATAATAATGTATTTTTACACTTTCATAGTGTTTTGACCCCAGTTTAGGGGCTAACTAATTGCCATATCTGGAACAGGTGCTACCACCTCGGATCAGGTTGGATCTGAGAACAGCAGCAATTAAGAGGGGGGTTCCAAGCCCCTCAAAACCTCCAATCTCCCGATCACAGGCCTTGCTGCGGGTTTTAGTTTATCGTCATACCCAGGTCTACTTCAATTCTGAAGCAGAATAACGTCTCAGCATTAAAAAAAATCATAGAGTTTGATATGCTGCTAAACAAATTCGACCAACCAAACAAGCAATATGAAATAACTTTCATAACATTAATACATACAGTTATGTGCAAAAGTAAGTGAACCGTGAGATAATATTTTAAAAGATTGTCTCCTTTTTCCAGATGATCAACAAACCTTAATTAAGCTATGTATTCATTAAGAAAAACCTTTATTAAATCAATTGCAAAAACATTCAAAGATTTTTATCAATCATACTTATTATAAAACCCAGGTTGTGTGTGTGTGTGTGTGTGTGTGTGTGTGTGTGTGTGTTTCGTTTATATATTGGATCGGATTTCCTACATTTTTCAACCGATTTCAACCAAACTTCACATGACTACGTAAAATTACCTTGCGGTGGTTCTAACAGCGCCAAAAAAAAAAAAAAAAATGGAAAAACACAATTGTTTTTGCACGAAATTAATTTGAAAACACGATTAAGAGGCATCGCGAGAATGAAAGGAGGACAACTCATATCGAGTTATACTTATTATAAAACCCAGGTTGTTTGTCTGTGTGTGTCTGTGTTCGTTTATATATGGGATCGGATTTCCTACATTTTTCAACCGATTTCAACAAAACTTCACTTTTTTTTTGGCAGGTAGTGTTTCTTATTGTCTTGCACACTTTTTTATTTATTTTTACATTCAGAATGCTTTAAAAAATCCATTTACAAAACAATTGTTTATAATAAAATTCTATTCAATCGGTAGACTCATAACGATTGAAAACAATGTTTTTGTTTGAGTTTGGGTTTGACAAATTCGTAAAAAAAAAACCCCCAAAATCAAACAAAAAACAAAACAAAAAAACTAATTAAGACATGCGTGTCCGTCAACCTTAAACAATAATCTTTGTCAATTTTATTTTTCAGTCTTTATGATGGTCGATACCTGATATGTCTCTTAATGTTACATCCCCGGGCAACGCCGAGCTCTACTGCTCGTCTGGCACAAAAAAAAAGTTAACCCTTTCATTTATACTTTGCATATTTGCTTTACATGGTTGCCAGTGCAAAAAATTTGTTGTATTTATCTAAAAATCAAAAGGACACATGTTCATTTTTTGGTAAGCAGTGTATACTACAGTCAAACAATATAACTCATTCAGTTCATGTGCCATGCGTGATACACGCTTAGGCGATCATGTATCTTTCGATACATGACTGACGAAGCCGATTTTTTCCCACAGTAGGTTGCCATTTCTTTGACCAGTTGCCATCCAAGGCTAATATGCGATTTACCCCTAGCTGGGGCTGGGAGAAGAAGAGGATACCTTTCACAAGTAATGCACGTAAGTGAATGTAATGGATTCGACTGGAATTTGAACTCGGCTCTCCGATTCCTCAATCCAAGCTGCTATCCATTACCCCAAAGTGTCTCCACTTATTATGTACACAAAGATGTGCAGTTAGGGACCAAATATTAAAAAATATATATATGCAATGATCAACTTCTTGAAGCATTAAAAAATGGCATAGTTGAAACCGATAATGATGGAGAATTCTACAAAAGAACTATCAAAATGACCTGGAGAGCACTTCTCCAACGTGCAAGAAATTATTTATAAATGTATGGCCTCTAGTATGACGGCATCACAATCAAGAAGTGGTCGTCTGCTAAAAATAACAGCAAGAGCAAGTAAACATCTTTTTCTCGGCAGACCAGGCAAATCCTGCCGTGACTTTTGCAGTTCTTCAATGCACACTGGCCAATATCGAAATTAATGTGCATATATCTCCAGTGTGACACTATTGTATAATATCGGACAATTTCTTAAATCAAACTGTATTCCAAAATATAAATTCAACAAAACTACAACATAGAACATACTGCCTCTAGGAGTTGTTTATTGTACATGCACAAAAGCTGACTACCATTTAACATGTATTCAATTCTGAAAGTAGAATAAAATATTTCATATTTTTATTACTTCAAAACTCAAAAGAAAATTAAATTTTGGCATTAAATGACCCATAAGGAGTTGATGTGCCTTTAAATAGACAAATTAATCAACCAATCAATCCTGATAAATACAGGATGCCAAGTAAAAAAAAAAAAAAAAAAAAAAAGAGGCAAATTTATTATCACTCTTTTTCAGGAATAACTGACCTTGAACAACCTTGAATAAATTTCTTGAATATTCATGACCTTGAGTAATCATTCCATTCTCGCGTAATTAACTTTGATGAGTCCTTTTATAATTGATTAATTGCTGCTCGATCTTGCGACTCATCATTTAAGGGTTATTCGCAGACAACTTTCGTTTTTCGTTCTGCCCTTCTCGAATGGCTAAACAACTCACTGACTTCGAGCGTCAAGTTATCGTAATTATCAAAGAAGAATATCCGACTTGGGAATTGACGAAATATGCAGAAATTTCTGTTAAATTTTTCACTCACATCAGTCGTCACCAGTTTTCAACGGTTGGCTCAAGTCTTTCTGAATTTACCTCTTTTTTACTGGACACACAGTATATGTTGAATAATATGATATTTAGAAGAATTCAGACTTATGGAAGTCCCAGAGTGAAACTATGTTACTGTTTGTGTTATCAATCTTGTATCAGTGTTGCTTAAAACTAAAGACAATCATAAAATGTATGCAAACTTTTCCAGCGAAAACCTGTTTTCAATTTTGTATGCATTTGTAGCGAATAGCGTAAGGGTTAGCGGGGGAAATAATGGATGTGGAGACGTTTTTGGACTCTACCGATACAGAAAAGGGAGGACAGGTTCTGCCCAAATATACTCCATTTTAGGCGTCATCCGGTTCTTGTAAAACAATGATACCACGATGAGTCAGGTACTTATTAGAACGGTACAGGGAATCTACTATTTTCCTGTATCTTTAATTTGAAGAAATTCAATTTTGCAACTATGGTCATTAGTTTTCCTGAAAAGAGCGCCGGGCAGTAGAAGAAAAAAAACTGTTTGTATTACATAGAAAAGGATTTTTTTTTCATTTCAATATAATTTAGTTTTTAATTTCCGAGTTCGTATAAACAAATCTCACCTTTCTATGTCTATTTTCTCCCTTCATTGATATCACGTTTTTCTTATCACCGTTCCACATCTTGATTGACTTCTATGAAGTTCTCGATTTCGGGTGATAGTGTCTAGTTCTTCACACCAACCATGAGAAGTGAAGTGTGCATTTCAACCTAAAATTAGAACCATCAATCAAACTTGTTTATATCAATCAAAATAAAAGCCTTCTAACATTTGTTTTATTATTCTACTGCGCACCGACAACCAATGTTATCGATATATTTATTCGTGATATCATCGGCTATAAATAATATTAGGACGACGTTTGAAAATACGTATAAAAGTAAATTTTTCCACTAATTTTTAAACAGTATTCATACCTATACTATTTAGATTATTCGAACTATTGTCCTCATCTTTGTTGCCATATTTATCACAACGTTTCGGTAACAAAGATGAGGACAATAGTCGAATAATGTAAATTGTGTACATAATACCTCATCCCAGAAATATAGACAGGTACTGAAAGGCCGAAACGTTGAAATAAATATGGCGACAAAGATGAGGACAATAGTCCGAATAATGTAAATAGTGTACATAATACCTCATCCCACAAATACAGACAAATACTGAAAGGCCGAAACGTTGAAATAAATATGGCGACAAAGATGAGGACAATAGTCCGAATAATGTAAATAGTGTACATAATACCGCATCTCAGAGATATAGACAGATAATGAAAGGCCGAAACGTTGTAATAAATATGGTGTCAAAGATGAGGACAATAGTCCGAATAATGTAAATAGAGTACATAATACCTCATCTCAGAAATATAGACAGATACTGGAGTTATATCTCTAATTAAAAAAGACGTATTTTATGATTTGCTTTCTATCACGTATATAAATAAACAGAATAAGTGAAACTTGTTTTATTTTTGCATTTTAGAAAAATCACAGTAAAAAATATATATTTCAAATTAATACGATATCCTCCACGATGCTAGCAATTATGTTTCTCCACAGTTTATTTCCTTTAATATAAGTCATATATTACGAGCTGAAGCTGGCAACTAGGGGTGGTGTAATGGTTAGCAAGCAATTACGACTGTGTAGTGAGTTCGATCCACACTGTGCGCCAATACTTTCGGCCTTGTGCCACATCTAATCTACGCTTGGAAAATTTCTATAATACGAGTTGAAGTTACTCAATAAAACATCCATCAAAAATGTTGAGAACTTCAAATGTCTTGGAATTCACATAATAGATTTTCAAAAAGACTTCAATATCCGCAAAGCACTTGCATGGGATGCGTGTAACTTCACATTATTTGGCACTTTCATCCTCTTTAAATGTCTACACCTTTCGAACACTGATTGAACCAGTCCTACTGTATGGATCAGATACTTGGACATTATCTGTTCGTCTTGAAAGACGACTCGATGGAACATGTACAAATCTACTTAAAAAAAATCCAGAAGATAAATTGGAGATCCCATGCAATGCTTAACATAATTTATATAGAACTGACACCAATCTTTCTTAAACTCAAACAAAAACGATTACAGTTTACCGACGAATTTCTAGATACCATATATCATATATATATATATATATATATATATATATATATATAAAGACATTTTATGTTTATACATTATATTTTATAGATACAAATATTCTTTTATAGATACATTCTTTTTATAGATACAAATATTTAAGTAAATGCTCTGTTTATAATAAACAGTATTAAACAACATTTACCGGCCTGAATGTCCGAGAAATTTTCACAGAAAATATTCGTCCTTCGACTTTATTCGAACCTGTATCTTGTACGGAACCGTCATTTTATATATATATATATATATATATATGTGTGTGTGTGTGTGTGTGTGTGTGTGAAAATATATAGAAAATAGGAAAGAACTCGTTAGGTAAATAATTCAAAGTTGTTTTGTATTTTTGTTATTTTTTTAAAAATAGTGCTCGATACAAAAGTAGAGCATAAATATAATTATTTATTTAAAAATATGATTCCAACGCTACATAAGAGTTCTCATGTTTCAAAACAAGAGCCGAAAACTTCAATATAATTATTTGAATTAAATTGAATTAAATACTAAGCTCTGTTCCATCTAGAAGCGAAATTTTTTTGGAATAACTTATTTCTGAAATTTATGTGTGTGTGTGTGTATGTATGTATGTATGTATGTATGTATGTATATTGAAAGAGAGAGAGATAGAATTATTAATTACATATCCTAACGAATTTATACGGTGAAACTTCCTCGTGGTGTATTTTCCTCGTTGTGATTTCTTTTAAACACTAATAGTATGCTTTCCATAACAAGAGCTTACAGATAAGTCACGATGAAAAATTCTTCCGACCACCGAAGTTAAGCAACATTGAACCTGGTCAGTACCTAGATGGGTGATCGCTTGGGAAAACCAGCTGCTGTAAGCTTGGATGTGCAGATCGAGTAATGAATAGGGGCTTGGAATTGGATATCGGAGTACTGAGTTCCAATTCTATTCGAGTTTGGTATATTAACTTACGCTTAGGTGCCCTTGGGAAACGTATAAATCCAACTCTTCTTCCTCCAGCTATGGGTTAAATAATAAGACGTGTATGATTAAATCATTATTATCTCTAAAATATTCTTTCAATTCGCAAACTATTTTCTGATTTAAAATAACTCACAATGGGTCGATAAACCGTAAAAATAAATAAATAGAATCCATAACAAGGTTAGAAATGTCAGTTTATACAATTGTACTCGTACCTGATAGGGTTAAAGATGGATTCCTACCTTTCACAATGTTTATTTTAATACACTCTCCTTTCAATTCATAAGCGATCGTGGTACGGCACATAATCCTTTGCTTTATAAACTGTTGTCATGACTTATTGCGAAAGATGGCAGAAGAGTTTCCCGCTGCTTCTTAGATAGTTTTGTTTGTCCTTCTCCTAGACAAGTTGGCAATCAGTCTACTATGCTATTTAACCCATAACGTGATGAGGGAAGAAATCAGTTCATGCCTTTCTCAGCAGCATTAGTTCAAATTGAATGTACCAGATCCAGTTGGAATCTGATCTTGTCCCTCCCATGCCACACTCTGCTCTGATACCCGTCACACTGCTATACTCGTTGAACTTAGCCTACTAATTTCATTTTAAATTTTATTATCTCTTATGCCAGTGCCACTGAGCCAGTAAGATATATGCAAACACTGAAGGAAAATCTGATTGCAAAAATAGGAAGTAATTTTTATTCAACTGAAAAAAGCAACGTAAATTTTAGCATTTTTCAAAGGTTAATAATTCCACTATCTTTTAAGATCGGAAAATTAAAAGAAAGGAATAAATATATTCTTCTGATGATTTCTTTCTGTTTAGTGTAGAATCAGCACCCATTTTATGTTTGTAGATAACAGAAAATAGTTTTCGAATAAGCTTCTGGCTTGGTAATAACCAGATATAAATCGAATTGAAAATAGTCGCAGTTTTATCTGTTCTAGAATAGCAAGTAACAAGTTACGTTACGAACATAGTTTGTAAAATGGCGTCGACAGACAATGGGTATATCGACCGGGTGTTTTTCTTTCTTTTTTTGTTTGTTTTTGTTTGTTTTTGTTTTGTTTTTGTTTTTGTTTTTTTGCTTGTTTTTTCGGAATATAAATTATTCAATGTTTACCAGAATTAAATAATCGAATCGTGACCATATTTAATATTAATCTACGATTTTTATGCTTCTTCTCCCTGTGCACTTATTCAATTAATAGCATTGTACTCGTAAAGATAACGAGATTACTTTATGGACAAATCGCACGCGCGCGCGAACACACACATACATACACACGCACACACACGCACGCATATATATATGAGTGTGTGTGTGTGTGTTTCTGTGTGTGTGTCTGTGCGTGTATCTGTGTGTGTGCATAGAGAGAGCTCATGTTAATATAAAAGTGTACATTGAGATCAACACCCAGTGGCGACAGTCTATCTCATGTTACGCCCCCGGGATATTTAATTCCGGTCGAGCACTCTTAAGAGAAAGCGCGAATATGTAAACAATGACTACTACTGCTAAAACTGCAAAGGTCTTCCATGAACTAAGCCTTCTTGGTCATTGTTGTGTTTATTCGAAGAATAAGTACGTAAAAAACCGCCTACATGATGCCAAATCAGTCTGGTTTCGATCCCGGCAATCGGATCCACACAGATGAGCTGTAACACAATGAAACGGCTCATCAGTGTGGATCCTATTTTAAAATAGGCAGAGAAAAAGAAGAACTAAGTCTATTTACATAATACCAACAATAATATTATGTTTATTTAGAAATAGTTAATTGTTACTTCACAGATCATATGAGAAACTGTTAAGATTTTAACAAATGTAATTATATTCCAACAGAGGACAGAATATGCGACACTGAAACCCGAAGACGCATTGGGATTGCCAAAGATGCTTTCCAAAAGCAAAGCAGAGTATTAAAAAGAACTAAATACAGTGAAATCTTCTTTTAACTCCTATAAAACACTTTGAGTGTAATGGTCATCTGCTCGCTTCCACACGCAAAAATTTCATACGATGTCTGTCTAATCCCTGTTAAAAACATCTGATCAGGCTCACTGGTACTTGTTCAACACCCGCACAGCCATATTGCTATATATATATATATATATATATATATATATATATATATATATATATATATATCGCAGCTATATTGTACGGATATAAATACTGACAGAAAGAGCAAAACCTGACGTGATCGCCGGTTTAACACGGCCAGCACGCTCACGTTGAGATGGTCCTTTGTGCTATCATATGCATTGACGATTTTCAAACAATTTTCTTCCACACAATACATATAAAAGGGATTATTGGGTATGGAGGAATTAGAAAAAAAGAAATATTACTAAGGAGCGAGAACAAAAAGAGAGCACTCAGGAGGACAATAGATACCGATTGACATTGCATTTAAATTTTTATAGTTGTCAGGGAAGCATGGAGTCAGCAGAAAATTCCACAAGAGAGAAGTGCGAGAAACGTTACTGTTAGCATAGAAGTTATGGTTACATCTAGCAAGTTCAACTGTAAATTGACGAGATCTCCACGCTAATCTAATACTTAATTCATAAAGTCTAAGTACCATAGCGAAGAGCGATATTTATTCAACTATGTACAGAAATGTGGCAAAAGGCCAAAATGGCGAATTGGGGAAAACAACGGTCTTCTTCTTTCTTAATGTTAAACTTAACTAGCCACAAACACTGACCCAAACATACAACAATAATCCTAACATAAAAAAACAACGTATTCTTACTTACCTTTCTTACTACATCCACCATAATACCTCATTGTCTCCATGAAAGTCCTAACTAAACCCAATATGTGTTGTTCATGATGACGGTCGTCTTTGAGTATAGAATCCAGAGGTTAGCAGTGAATATTTCGAAGACAGTAGGGAAGCGTAGTTCAGGTTAGCAGTGGATATCCCGGTAAAGTAGCAGAGCATAGTTCAGTAGTTCTTCCTTCTGTTCCTCTTCGCCTGACAAGTTGGCACTGGACATTCGGAGAGAGAAAACAAAATGGCCGCCTTTATACACGACGGATTGAATATTTTACATCTTCTGATTGGTTAACCTTCTATTGGTGGACTATAAAGTGAGTCAACTCATTTTGACTGGCTCACTAGCACATATATCCAAAAAACTGCAACAATATGTACAATTCATTGTCTGTGGGTGGGGAGAACAAAACAACAATTTAAAAAAAACTAACCCCAATGAGTATTTATAATATGAAAACAAAACTATTTACAATAAACTAAACAAAATAATGTTAGTAATAACCCCCCCCCTCATTAAATGTAGCAGAAACATCAGTTAACTGGACGAAATCAATGCGGGACTATAATAATATAAAACATTCATTCATCCCGTGCACTTTCACTGACATGCACTCATTCAGACACAACAACAAATACGAAAAACACACCCAAAACGAAAGGCGCCCCGCATCCACCTGAGAACTAAAATCACTGACCACCTAACGAGGGAGGGGATGGGGAATTAAGCCAAAGAAAATATGGGGACAGAAATAAAAAGGGACCAATGAGCATACATTCCATAGCAAAAAGCTCAACCGAACAATTTCGATGAAAATATTTATTGAAAATTCAGAAGGAGGAAGATTTACGGCGGGGAGAAAGTGACTGAAGCCGAGCAGCCAGATCAGGACCAATAATATGGCCGAATCTTCCTTAGATTTTATCAAATAGATTTAGATAAATAGCAGGAGTACCGGACTATATTTAGCAGTGATATTCTAAGCATGGACGAATGGTAGGCTTATAGATATGTAAGATAGATTCTGTAGAGAAAAATTGTCT